GTTGCACGTGGACTCGCAGGAGGAGGAGGGCCGCCCCCACGGGCACCCCGGCCAGCTGAGGCGGCCACGCGGCCTCTCTGGGTCCGATGTCCTTGTTCTTAAGGCAGCAGCACCTACTTTTCTCCAGTTTGTTTCGGAAACAGACGTGGGTGTGATTTATCGGGAAGGCCACGGGCTCTGCCCCTCTCAGAGCTGGGGCCAGCCCGTGTGGACGCCTCCCCAGGCAACCTCTTTTGTCCTGAAAATGCCAGGCAGTTACCGTGTTTCCTTAAGAAACTCCTGGCGGTTAGGAGGCGGCCTCTGCCTTAAAATAAGACAGGCGCCCCAATGATGGGAGGACAGCAGGGGGAGCCTCGGGGGGCTCGGGGCTCGCAGTGGGGAGAGGGGCGAGTGGGACTGTCCCGCCAGGGCCAGGGGCTGAGAGGGTGATCGCAGGTGGGAAGTGGGTCAGGGAGAGAAGGCAGCTGTGCCTCCGCTCAGCGCCCAGGAAGAACAACGAGGAAATGTGCCAGCCCCTTCCCTGTGCCCTGTAGGCGAGCCAGGAGGAAAAGTAACCCCTGCGGCTCACAGCTCTAAAGGTCGGGAAGCCTCTTGGAAATGAACCGGGTGAAATCAGTGTGAAGTCTTCCACGTAAAAAGGCTCCCTCGGAACCCGGGCTGTGGGCACTCAGACTGATTTGTTTAAATACCGGGGAGGCCCCAAGCCCCAAACCCTGGGCCAGAGAGCAGGTCCGAGCTCCTCGGGTGTTAGAACGATGACATGTCCCGTGTGGCCCCAGCCCTGGAGGCAGTCCGTAATCAGGCGCACCGACTTGTCGGTAACTAGGCCGGGGGGCGTCGTCACTGTGAGATGAGCTTTAAACGGCTCCACGTCAGTTCATGCCAGGGGTTGCCCCAGATACCGGTACATTTACAATAGGTCATAGTCCACTGCCAAATGACCTAGGAAGAAAATATGGGTTTTCATTGCTTTTTGGAATTTGCAACTGTAGCACGAAATGGGTTTTAGGCAGAGTCGTGGAGCTAGATAGCTTTCTAGTCTTTTCAAAATGTGAACTATGTTTCCATTTAAACTGCAAAAGTGGGGGAGGGAACTGCTGGGCCAACCCACAGTGTGGGAGAGCCTCCGATGGGTCCTGGGAGAGGTCCCTCGTGGGCAGGGATGTTGGACCTGTTTTCCTGAGCTTTCTCACACCACCTGTTCGAATTTGAGGAAGTATCTTTTTAAAACTTTTGTTATTGAATTTTGCGTGTAAATTGGAGCCATTATTTTTGCAGGAAACGTACTGCTGTCCACAAGTGCAGTTTGTGTTGACTTAGTCAAGACATCTAAATGTTGACTAAATCCCAGCGTGGACTGATGTGTTCATTTTCCTGATTTCAGGAGGGTTTGCATTCGTATATGAGGCCCAGGATCTGGGAAGTGGCAGAGAGTATGCGCTGAAGGTAAGGTGGACGGGTTCTGTGTGGGTTTCGGTTACTTTTAAGGAAATCTCAAAGTGACATGTTGAGGGAGGTTCCCGATTAGAGTGTTTCTTTGTGCGTTTTCTCTCTCCTGTTAGTTTCCTCTGGTGGCGAGGAGCCATCAGCACTTTCAGGGGATGTTATGGCTGCGGTGTCCAGCTGGGGGCCCGGGGGCGAGAGTAGCTCGAGTGCCAGGAGCTCACAGTGAGACTCCGCAGAGGGCGGGAGCGGCACAGCCACTCGGGTGGACCACGCGTGCAGGCCACGCTCGCATGTCCCGGAGCAGGCTTACGGTGGGACTGTGGGCAGGGCTGTCTGGTTTCATCCGGTGGCTGGTGTCCAGCCTGGGCTGCGGAGTGGAGTGGCGTGGCCGTCCTGGGCGTGCGGCTAAGCTGTAAGGGGCCCACGTGACTTGGAGACGAGGGCGAGGACTCTCGTTTCTGCCGCGTCTCCTTTCTCATCCAATTTTACTGCAGTCTGTTTGTAGAAGAGGCTCCTCTGTGTAGTTCTCTGGTGTCCTTGGGCTGCGGGGGCCTCCCCGCTGCCAGTTTCTACGTAGTCAGGTGTTGGTGCATTGATCCGTTCTGCTGCGCGGACTAACCTTGTCTGTGTTCCCTCCCGATGCAGAGGCTGCTGTCCAACGAGGAGGAGAGGAGCCGAGCCATCATCCAGGAGGTGTGCTTCTTGGTATCCTTTCCTGGGCGCCGCGGCCGCGCTCGCGTTGACGCACTCACAGTGGGCTTCGCTTTTCCTGGCTTAGCTGTGGACTGTTTCTAGCAAAAAGGAGCTATTTCCTTGTTCTTCACTCCCAGGGCAGCTGTAAGGGATTCCATGGTCCTGGGCGTGGAGATGTGGGTCCTGCCCCAGAGGTCTCTGTGCCTGGGGTGGGCGGCCCTTCAACCTGCGGCCATTGCACCCGGCCATCCCTTCACCCTGGGCAGAGCATCAACAAATGGCTGACGGCTGGCATTTCTTCTTGGCCTCCACCCGCTGGCGCTGCCCCTTTGCTGCCAGAATCCGTTCTTTTCTCTCCTGGAGTCTGTCCGTGGGAGCACGCCGGCCGCTGAACCCGGGTGCTCGCCTCCCTGAGTGTCGGGTGGACAGCCTCATGCCACGCCCTCTCCCGCTGGCCTGCCTGGCTGTGGGCAGGTGTGTGGTTCCATCCACACTTCGCTCCCCTCCCCCCGCCCTGCCCCTCTGCTCGCCCTCACCTCTCCGCTCTGATGCACTGAGATCTAAGATCATGTCCTTCAGCGTCCTGGTTTATACAGGGGAGGGCAAAAGTAGGTTCACAGTTGTGTGGGCATTATCACACAGTAAGTGATAACACGATACGTCCTCGTGCTCACAGCCGTAAGCCTACTTCTGCCCACCGCGCATGTGTGTTTCCGTGTGAGACTTACGCGTTCTCCTTTAACAAGACACCCGCAGAAAAAGCTTTCTGGCCACCCCAACATTGTCCAGTTTTGCTCTGCAGCGTCAATAGGGAAGGAGGAGTCGGACACGGGGCAGGCCGAGTTCCTGCTGCTCACGGAGCTCTGCAGAGGTAACGAGCTCCCGGTGGGCGTGCGCAGGTCCCGGTGGAGGGAGGCCCTTCCCAGGAGGACAGGAAAGGCTCTTAGTCACCGACAGGAGTGGGAGGGGCCCAGTGCCTTCTGCAGAGTTCCAGGGGGGGTCATGTGCATGACCGAGGAGGAGGCAGTAGGGCTCAGTCTGCCCACGCTGCCCATGGAGGGACGGGGATCTGCCCTGCTGCAGTGTACGGGCTCAGTTGGTATCGGTGTAACTTAGGGGGAAAGGAGTGGGCACAGGACATGGGAGGCCCAGTGGGCCAGAGGGTGGCAGCCGGGTGGGCCATTGGTCCTGGGGCATGGTGCTGCCTCATTGTCTGTGGGCAGCGTGTGTGGGAGGATGCCAGGGCCCTGCCGCCACAAGGCCAGGGAGCAGCAGCAGGGGACACTGAGGCAGGCGTCTCCCTGGGAGGGACACATGCTGTGCCCACAGATGGCCCTCCCCGGGGTCCCAGCCACCACGAGCGGGGCTGTTGCGGAGGAGAGGAGGCAGTGGGCGCAGGCACCTGCAGGAGGAAGAGGAGGAGATGGTGCTGAGCCCTTAGCACCCAGCGCCGCCTTGGAGCGGGTGGTGGTGGGGTTAGGGGATGGGGAGGGGAGCAGCAGGCTGACACAGGTGCAGACAGCTTTATAGGCTCAGGGAAGCCGGACCCACCCTGGGGAGTAGAGTTGGGAGCCGGATGGGAGAGCGAGGGCTGTGCTCTCCGTGTCTGGGCCCTGCTTCCCGTTGTCTCGCCGGGCTGGCTGGGAGGTGCTGCCCACACTCAGGTCTTCCAGTGGCAGGTGCTCACGGTCACTGCTGGTTTTAGTGAAGAGGACGTGTGCTCGCGGGAGAAGTGCCGTGAGGTGTGTTGCGAAGCGGGGCTCTGTAGACACACTCTTCCTTCTGAAAAGTGTGCTGTGCTCGGTGCCGTGTTGCGCCCACAGGCTCGCCTGCTCTCTAAGGCCCAGGGTCAGCAGATCCGAACTCAGGCCCATAGCCAGTGTCTGCGGACGCGCTCCTTGCCTCGTCCACGGAGTCTGCGTGTCTCTCCCGGGACCTCGCCTCCCTGTGGCTGGCATTCACAGGGGGCTTGTTGGGCTGGGGGTGCCATTCAGTGGCCTGCTCTGACACTTTGGGCAGCATGGACGAGGCCACGCTGGTCTCCATCAGGGCCCCTGTCTCCGGCTGTGAGTGCCGTGGTGTCTGTCCTGCTCCTCGTGTGGGAGCTCAGGTGGCTTCTGCATGGCTCTGCGCTGGGCCTTGTCAGGCTGGGGCCTCACGCCCTCGCCCCCGCGGCAGGTGGTTCTCTCGCCAGGTGAGCGTGGTGTCTGGGGCACTGTTGTGTGCAGGCGCGGGTTCCGCGACTCGCCCGGCATTGGGGGAAACGAGCTGGAGTGGGTGCCCGTGTGGCAGGCTGGCAGAGCCGGCTTCCTAGGGGCGGGGGACGGGGGGGACACACACGGTGTCTGACCCCAGGAGGCGGGGCAGCGTGGCCTCGGGCCTCCAGGGATCTGGAGCCGTGGTAGCCATGCTGGCTGTGCCTCCGTCACTGAGGTGGCCTCGGCCTGGATCAGGGACGGGCTGGGGACCAGGGCAGCACGGGCACTGAGGTGTGAACACGTGTCCCTGGCGACGGGAGGATGGGGCTCCCTGTGCTGTCACCACCCCTGGTCCCGTGTGCAGGCTGCACTTAGTGTGGCGTGTGTGTTGGAGAGGCCACGCCCCTGGGCAGACGGCTGTCATTTAGGGAAGTGGAGCAAGACGAGGAGGTGGCATGTTGTGGCTTCTCTGGGCCCTGCCGTCCCCCTGGCTCCGTGTGGGATTCTGTGCTGCCCGCGCCATGGCCACAGGTGTCCCACGCCGGCTGGTAAAGCCAGCGCCAGGTGGTGCCGCCCCCTGCCCTGTGGCCCCGCCCCCGGCTTGTGGGGATGAGTGTTTCCTGTCTCTTCCAGGGCAGCTGGTGGAGTTTCTGAAGAAAAGCGAGGCCAAAGGGCCGCTGTCGTGCGACACCGTCCTGAAGATTTTCTACCAGACGTGCAGGGCCGTGCAGCACATGCACCGGCAGAAGCCGCCCATCACCCACCGGGACCTCAAGGTGCTGCCTCCCACCCGCACGCCCCGCCCCGGCTAGGAGGTCCGGTTTCCGCCAGTGAGGCCGGCCGGGCTCTGCCAAGAGTCGCAGAGGCCACTAGGAGCCGCTTCACCACAAGCGGGTTTCCCCGCAGCCCCTCCGTGAAGCAGGGAGGGCCTCACGCCCAGGTCCCGCGGCCAGGCTTCCTGCAGGACCCTGTGTCCCTCAGCTGCAGGTGGGGTCTGGGCTCCTGGGCCCCTAGCTCTGGGCTGCGGCCCTTGTCCTTCCCCTGACGAGACGAGGAGCGTGCCTCCTCCTCTGGAGGTGCCCTTGGGGTCCAGAGCGGCCTGCGGCCTGGGTGGTGTCAGCGCCTGCCTTTCATGTAGGGACCAAAGCTGCCGGAAGGTGCTGAGCGCGTCCTCACGTGCAGGTGTGGGCTCCAGCGGCTATGCCGCGGGCTGAGGTGTGCGGAGCTGCCGGCTGCATTTCACAGGGGTGGGTGGGTGAGTGTAGGGATTTTGCTTTTCCTGGTTATTAATGAAGTTAAGTGCTTTTTGCTGCTCGTGGTCGTTCGTGTTCTTCCTCTTCAGTAGCTTTTGTTTTCTGTCCCTTTCCTGCGTTTGGTCTGTCACGGTGATTGGAGCTCCGTGGATGTTCATACAACGGTCTTTTTTTGAGTTATATGTGCTGCAGGTATTTTCTGGTTTATGATCTGGTGTGTGTTTTAAAAACATTTTTATTGATTTCAGGAAGGGAGGGAAGGAGAGAGAGAAACATCAATGAGAGAGAATCATGGATCGGCTGCCTCCTGCAGGGCCCCTACTGGAGATGGAGCCTGCAACCCCGACACGTGCCCTGACGGGGAATTGAACCGAACCGTGACCTCCTGGTTCCTAGGGCGATGCTCAGCCACTGAGCCACGCTGGCCGGCCGGCCTGGTTTTTATTCCCCCTCTTGTGTCTTTGAAAAACCCAAGACTTGGTGGAAATTGTCCAGCACCCAGCACTGTGCCCGCCTCTGGCCACATCTTGGGCGGCAGCCGCCCCCCATCCTGCTTCCTGGTGAAGGTGGGTTTTCCTGAAGGATTTTATAGCCGGAACCCAGACCTCACCTCACTCCACTTCACGCCTGGACACTGTGCACTGTGGGAGAACGGGAGTTTTCTTAGCAGCTGCCCCATCCCTGCCGCCGCGGCACCCAGACACTCCCTAGTGCAGAGGTGCTCCCGGTGCTGCGAGGATTGGTGTCCAGTCGGGGCACCGACCTCGTTCCCTTGGCTTCCCACGAAGGAAAACGGCGGCAGCCGCACAGCAGGTGTCCGGTGTGAAGGAATCAAAATGACCCACGTTTGGTCAGGTCAGCAAAATGCACTGTTGTTGCGCTGCAGAATCGCAGTGGTTAACGTGTCGCAAGGGGGGAAGGTGGGAAATCGCTGCTCATGGCCTTCACACCCCGTCCGCAGGTCCCTGGTCCCCCGATGTGCTCTCTGAACCCCCCTGGGGGTCGGCACTCACACCCTGTCTGGGGGTCTTTGTCTTCGTCCAGATTTGAACCTCTGAGGAGCCTGGCCTTCTCTCTCCCCCCGAACCGAGACCCGTGGGGTTGGGAGGACACCGGGCGGTGGTGGTGCTAGGGGTTGGAGGCCTTTCTCGGCCGGGGTTTCCTGTGCCTCCAGGACTGTTCTGCTTACGTGTTAGCCGTGTGCGTGTGCGTGTGAACAGGAGGAATGAAATCAGCCGTGTCTGCCTGGTTTACTCCCTCCCCCCGTGTCCCGTGTGCGCCAGGGTCCCTGCGGCCTGTCCACGGAGTCCGGGCCCTGTGTGGTGACCCTGTCTGCTGCGCGTGGCTCCGGAGTGCGTCCTCCATGTGGCGTTTTGCTCAGCGCTGTGGTTTTGGGGCTCGTCCGTCTTGGGCCCACAGTTGGCAGAGTGTGCGCTGTGGGGTCGCTGCTTCCCGGGCGTGTGGCCTCTGAGCCTGGTGCTTGGGGCTCTTGGTGTTGGCAGCAGACCGTGTGGCTCCCGTGGCATTTCCTTCTGTGGACAGAGTTGGCCATTTTTAGGTTTATTGGCATTGGATGTCCTCTGGGCACGCCCCGGGAGCGGTGTTTGCCTGTGTTCTTGCTGAGCTGTGTTTCTGCCTCATCCGCAGGAGCCGTGTGTGGGGACACGTGGGGTTTGGTGTGCTTGTTCGCAGCGGGCGGTGTCTGCTCAGGTGCTGCTCCTTCCCGAGCGTTGACCTGAGGCCTGTGGCTGCCCTTGCGTTTAGAGGCAGGGCCTCTCTTCTGGTCGGCACCCTCCCGCTCGGAGCTACAGCCAGGCTCCCCTCTGCCTCGGGGTCGCGTGGCTCTTCTTGGCTGTGTCTCCTTACACACGTTTTCATCCGTTTGTCAGTTCCACCCATGGGATGCCTCGGCCGTCCCCGAGCAGGTCGGCAGGCTTCTCTGGGAAGGGCCGACTGTAAACATGCCTGCTCTGCGGGTCCCGCGGCCCCGCGGCCCTGGGTGGTAAGAATTGTTTACTTTTCCCAGCACTCAGGTTGTAAAAGCCGTCCTTAGCGGTGGGCCTTGGCCAGGACATGCCCTCGAGGGGCTGGGACAGGTCTGTCTCTGCTGCTAGTCCTGTTGATGCTGGATTGTAAAAGTGCATCTCAAGTGACAGTTTCTGGCTGGACTCCTTGACAGCTTCTTGATCTATTTGCCTAGTGGCCTGGTGCACGAAATCGTGCATGGGTGCGGTCCCTCGACCTGGCCAGCGATCGAAGCATGAGCGTCTGGTGTGAAAGGGCAGGTCCCAGCTGACCTCTGGGCCCTGGGCAGCACCTGGGCCCCTGGATTCCCATGCGCCCCCCTCTGACTGAGTCATTGGGCCCTGCTTGCACCAACCTTGGCCTGGCGCTGCCCGCTCACCTGCTCCACCATCCCACTGCGGTCCGGCTTTCATTGGGGCCAGCAGCGCCTCCACTGTCGCCCACTGCCAGCGCTGCATCACTGACGCCCGCCATGTTCTGCGCCTCCCCCTTGTGGTCAGTGCATGTCATAGCGAGCGGTCAAACTCCCAGTCAAGGGAACAATTTGCATATTAGGCTTTTATTATATAGGATAGCATATAGGACTAGAGGCCTGGTGCATGGGATTCGTGCACTGATGGGTCCAGCCAGCCTGCCCCAATCAGGGCTGGATGGACCAGGCCGGACAGTGGGAGGGCATGCAGGAGGTTGGCCAGCTGGCCGGGCCCCCCAATTGGGGTGGGGTGGGCTGATCAGGGGCAGAGCCAGAATGGGGGTGGAGCCCCGAGCGGTTGGCAGGCAGGCCCCACCCCCTGACCCAACTCCAGGTGAACTCCTGGTAGAGGGAACAATTTGCATATTACCCTTTTATTATATAGGATAATCCTAGCTACTGTAATAGATACAATCTGAAATCACAGGATCTTTACACAACAGCAGTTTATTCCTCAGTCATGCACAGCCCATTTAGAGGCAGGAATTGAATTACTCTGCTCAGTGCAGTCATTTCAGAATCAAGATAATGGAAGTTCAACCATCTTCAAACTGTGGCTC